AAAGCCATTGACTTGTGTCAACATGTAGAGCTGCTCCTGTCATCACTCTGCTCTATGCTGGTGGTCATCTGTCCACAGATAATCGTGAAACTGTCCTATAGAGTTAAAATAAAAAAACACCCTGAAACTGAGCCCCACAGGGGTAGCAGACACTGGTGACTAACAGGAATTCCTGAGCTGGTCTTACAGCTTGCTATAACCCCTGTGCTTGCAGCCCGCCTGCACTGAGCAAGCTTGCCGTAATTGCTTTGCTGCAAATTGCACACCCTCCAAGCTCCATGCAGCCTAAACAATAAGATGTTTGCCTGAGCTGTTTTCCAAGAACTTGGAGTCAACTGTGTCTAGTGCAAGGTCAAGCGGCTAAAGCTGGTTGGGACCACCAGCCTTAACACTGGGCCTGTGTAGGTGGCTGATAAGTAACTTTTTGGCATCGGATGGTCCAAAATTCTACCCTCGGATCATGCTTAGTGCCTCCATTTTTAGACAAATATTCCATGAGTAGCACGTAACTCAATCAGATACGCCTGCACAGAACACGGATTATCTCAACTTTCCTTATGTCCAATCACCTTTCTCCACTCCCAAGAATCTTTATCCCACAATTATCTCAAGCCCCTCGCCTTTCGGGAGGTGGATCTGAGACTGGTTCTCCCATCTTTGCCTGGTGAATGACACTCCCCGCCTTTTTTTTTTTGCTGCAAATCTTGATGTCTCAGCATTTTGGCTTGCTGCACAAAGGGCAAACTAACCTGGTTCAGTAACAATTTCAGTACTATTCCATCCCAAGAAGATAATTCATAAACAGCAAATCAAAGACTGAATTCCAATTCAGAGAAACGCAAAGCCCTCACTCAGTTTCCTGGAGTGACAGAATACCGTGGTTTTCTCAAGAATCCAAGATTACGGGGAAAAACAAAAAAACCCCAAACCGCACCCCAGAGAGTCACATCTTCTCAAATGCACCTAAATCGCCACCACCCCCCGCAGCTATCGCAGCTTTTTCAAGGGGCTAGATAAATCTGCTCCATTCTTGTTAAACTGCCACACAGACAGGAGAACTGCCTCTCTAACGTATAAAATCACTTTTCGAATGAGGATATCAGTGCCTCACACGGCAGCCTCTTTCATTTCTCTTGAAAGCTGATTTCAGGGGCATCTTTAGAAAGAGCTGATCTTCTGTTCCTGAAATAGGGCACTAAGCCCGGGGGAGCACATTACAGTGATTGCATCACTAAATAAAAATTAAAACTTTTCCACGAGCACGGGCTGTCTTTTACATGTGAAGGGTCACTGCCGTCCCCTCCCACCTCGTCTCCCCAGGGTCCCCCAGGGAAGCACTGCTGAGGGACTTTGCTTTGTGCACTGATGGGTTTTTTTTAAAAAAAACTTTCTTGTTTGCCCTTGTTATACAAGGCACAGAGGTGCCGACTGACTGGTGCCCGAAAGGAGCAAAGTGGCGCGGAGGGAAACGCATTTCCTTCCTTCCCAGATGCTCTGCTCACCCCACTCAGAGGGCACATTTTCTCTTCAATATCAAATTAGATTAAGTCCTATTTTTAAAGCCTTCTGCTAAGACTGACTTCTTGCAGAAAGCCTTTAGATGCACAAACTCAAGCCAAGCTAATTCTTAACCCTTCCCCTTACTATTTTCATTCAATTAAGAAATACACATTTTTTTGAACATCAAATATGACTACAAGTCTTCTAATGAAAGCAGCAGTCTCTTACTCAAGTTTTCCCCAGTCCTGAGTCCAACCCCCAGTTAATGCCTTTAAGTATTTATTCTCATATACACCTGCTTACCTCTAAATAATATGTTTATACTACTATTTCTTGATTTACTCATTCTAGACTTTGTCACTAATTTTCTACGAGGCAAGGTAACAAGTTAATAATTTAATGTTTTCTTTTCCTTCTTCTCCATCTAGCCATTCAGCCCATTTCACAATTTTTTCCTCCATCCGGGTAAACTCATATTTGGGTTTTATTGAGTTATGACAAGTACACTTCATTTCACATGTGACATTTTAAAAATTCTGCTCCCTTTTCTTTGGCTTCATTTTCTAATGCCCTAAACTAAAACAGTAATAATTGTCTCTCTTCACAGTGCTGAGCGAGTGCCGTAAAATCTCTTGGTACTATTCTACCCTTTGCCAAAATCATACAAGCCACTACTTTCTTTCTTTCTCTCTCTTTTTGGAAGGTAAGCCTCTGGTAGCTATCTACCTTGCTTTGCTCTGAACTGGCTGCTGCCTGGACTGGCTGGACAGCTGTCACCAGGGAACTTCTCTTGACCTCTGCTCGGTATCAGGCCCCCTAATTATTGGATTGTAATCCAGGTAGAGGATTATCTGTGTCCCTGAGAAAGGACACACCACAGGTGAAATGAATTTCTGAAAATACCTGCAGTTATTCTTACACTTGACTGAAGGCTTGACTATGTGCAGAATTCTAGGTAGTAAATAATTTCTCTGCAGACTTTTGAAAGCATTGATCCAATGCAGTACAAAGTTTAGTGTTGCTGTTGGGAAATCTGATGCCTACTGGATTTTAAAAAAATTTTTTCCTACCAGAAGCTTTATAAAAGTCAGTACAGTATAGTGGTTAGGAGTGTAAAACACGAAGCCAGA